GTGTGTGTGTGTGTGTGTGTGTGTGTGTGTGTGTGTGTGTGTGTGTGTGTGTGTGTGTGTGTGTCCAACCAGTTGGTCCATGTGATGGTAAAACACAATAAGCCTCTTAGGTCTAATCCTGCCCTGTTGGGAAGAGAGTGTCTCACACATGCCTGCACACATACATGGACACACATTCAGCGGCAAATACACACACACACACACACACACACACACACACACAACACACACACACACACACACACACACACACAGTGCCGACATGGCCAAACCTGACAATGCTGTTTTTTCAATGGAATGAAAAACCTGTTAAAAATGACCATGAATGGGGGAAAAACTATTATAAAATGTATTGTCACTGCTGTGAAGCAACCTGTCTAGTGAGCCATATCACAGGACAGCAAGGTGGTTTGTGTTGTTATCTTGGTAATTTATTTTAAGGAAAATGTGTACTTGATGGCCAAAAACCATCTACAGCTCATTGTCAATAAAACAGAAGTGATTATGTTTGGACCCCAACAACCATCACCAGCCACTCAGGGTCATTAACATTCAACCTACTGTTCATTCCAGGAATCTTGGTGTCATCTTTGACTCCTCTCTGAAACTTGCTAAACACAATACTGCAGTGTAAAGGGTTGTTACTTTCAACGTGAGATCCGTCCTCTGTCTGAATGACAAGAACATTGTGGCCACTGAATTAATTTCCTTAGGACTAGATTACTGTATTGCCTGGATATAGGCTTGTGCTTGCTGTCCTGTCTGCAGATGATGCAGAATACTGCTGCAAGATTTGCATAACTCCTGTACCTGCATTTTTGTACTTTTTTTGTACTGGATACCTCCTTTTAAAAACAGAATTGTTCTGTTCTGTTATTTGGTTTTAAAGCCTGCAGGAGTTGGCATCCAGGAACATTTCTGAACATCTTTGGCCCCACTCTACCCCTACACCTCTAATACGTCTTAACACATACAGTACATGTTTTCAACAACTGTTGTTGATGCTTAAAAGCAATATCTTCATATATTTTTTTTATTTTAGAATTTGATCTTACAGTTTGTCTGTACCCTGTTTTACATTATTTGACTTTGTTTTACAAAATCATTTTACAAGTCAGCACATATTTTGGTAGCTGTGGAAAAGTCGGCTTTCCCTGCCCTTGGCATCTTTACCTCCTGGTGGGAGGCCCTGATTTGAATGTTATGAAATTCAACAGGCTTTGTCAACGTCAAATTGGGCGTGTGTAAACAGCGAGCACAAGTACAAGCAAGGTGATTAACGATTTGGCTCTTAAAGAAACAACTAAGTTTTGTTTCTGCTTTGCTTAAGCATTGCTTTCAGTGAGCCAAAAAATTCTTCATGTGTGACGAAAGTATTCACCCTCCTTGGAAGTTTTCTCTTTTTTTTTGCTTTTCAACAGTGAATCATCGACAGTATAATTTGGCTTCTTTCTACAAGAATTTACAAAAAAGACTATTTCATGTCAAAGTCAGAACAGATTACTGCAAAGTAACGTCCATTGTTTCAAAACTTGCGTCGTGATTGCATGAGTGCAAGTCTCTTAGGACCCACTACCAAGAAGCATCCCCGCGTCATGATGCTGCAGCCACCATGCTTCCATAGAGGGGATGGTGTGTCCGTGATGATGTGCAGTGCTTGGTGTCAGAAAAACAGAGCACTTTGTCTGATGACCAAAAAAACTCAATTTTGGTCTCATCAGACCAAAGAACCTTCTAACAATTAACTTCAGAGGTTCCTACATAACTTCTTGCAAATTCTAGTCATGAATAATATGTCAACTTTTTCCTACAATGGCTTTCTCTTTGCCAATCCTATGAAACTTTGACTGGTGAAGAATAGGCAACAACTGCTGTATGCACAGTTTCTCCCATCTCCTGTAGTTTGTAACTCCTTCAGAGGAGTCGTAGGTGTCTTGGTGGCCTCCCTTAATAGTGTCCTTCTTAAATGGGCACTTAGGTTTTGAGGGCAGCCTGCTTTAGGCAGATTTACACATTTGCCATATTCCTGTCATTTCTTATGATGTACTCTAAAGGCTATATCAGTTTTCCTGCATCCATCCCCTGACTTGTGCTTCTTAATAACCTTCTTCTGTAGTTGCTTGGAGTGTTCTTTTGTCGTCATGGTGTAGTTATAGCCAGAAGTACTGATTCACCAGTAACTGGACCTTCCAGGTCATACAACAATCACTTGAAACACTGCACTCAGATAATGTCCATTTCACTAATTGTGTGACTTCTCGCACCAACTCGCTGGGTCTTTGTAGAATTATATGATTTTTAAGAAAGATCTAAATTCACATATATTTTCAATGACTTTAGGTTGTTCCTAATGGTCCTAATATTTTAGCGTTTTTATATGTATACTGTATTTCTTTCATTGTAGAATTTGATTTTACAAGTGGCTGTCCTGTTTCAATATTTTATATCATTGGGTTTTATTTTTCAAAATGATTTCACAAGTCTTTTTCCCGTAGCATTTGCACATGTTTTTGTAGCCGTGGGAAAGTTGGCTTTCCCACTCACACACCAGTAAGAATTTGATTAATTCTATACCAAATTTAAGTTAATATAACCAGGCTCTGCTGTGCCCTGGACATCTTTGCCTCCTAGCGGGTGGGCCTGATTGACATAAGATACAATAGACTATAGACAACAGACACCAAGCCAGCAAGCACAAGTACAAGCAAGCTGGTTAGTGATTTCCTTTATCGACATAAAATTAGAGTTTTGTTTTTGTATCCATCCTCTTGAGCCAGAAAATTCACCTGTGTGTGAAATGAAGTGCTGTCTAGGCTTTCATTAGTAAACCTACTCAGTCTTGTATTATGCTATAATTTATTATTGCCAGTATATTCTCTGAGATAAATAGAGGAGGATATGATGTGTAAAAAAAAATTGCCTGCCAGGCAGTGCTGTGAGGTTACAGTGGTGAGCATCCAAAGATGATCAGAAGAATCTATTTAGCACTGAGCATTTTTTAATGAATGTAAATGAGAGCAGTCAGACCTGCCTGTTAGAACAGATATTACTGTATTGTGAAAGAGAGCCACATACCTTTTTCATTAATTGGCAGTTTTCTGCCTGACATGAACTATTTGCTCCTTCCACAGTGATGTGGAAGAAGAAAGAAGAAATCGATTGCTTTTGACTGTGTATTTGAAGACTGTCTAAAGTGTCATTCTCTCTCTTTTCAGATTACCTCTGCTCTCCAGAAGAAAATGTCCACATGATCGACTTCACCAGGTTTAAGATCCGTGACATGGAAACAGGGACGGTCCTGTTTGAGATTACTAAGCCTCCAACACCAGGTCTGCTCCAAACCTCAGAAGCTGGATTAAAAGGCAGATCAGTACAGTTAGTACAGTGTGAATATATTATCAAGACTGATTTAGAGTCGATGTATCTCACTGCTCATACAGTCTTTTCAAAGGTTTTATGTTTATGTAGAAAACTGATGAATGCACAGCGGTCAGGCATTTAGACTTGCAGAGAAAAGCCTGCATTTACAGTTTATTCACACAGTAGCTTACATATAAAAAGTAAAATAAGTTTAAATGTCAAATGCTGACATGTAATAAACTCACAACCTGGCTGCTTTTGTTTTTCACTTCTTCTTTAGCGGGAGGCAAAAAGCACTGTGACCCCAACGCCGGCCGTTTTGTCCGATACCAGTTCACTCCAGCGTTCCTGCAGTTGCGGCAGGTTGGAGCCACGTAAGTGTTGTGTCTGGTTTTTCCACCTAAATGACAATGAGGAGAGCAATTAGACATGAGTTGCCCTGAAAACAGAATTGATGACACTTTAGTAGGGCCTCTAAAATACTGACCATATGCCATTTTTTGCCACTGATGTATATTTTTCTCCTTCATCAGCATGAATCATGTGGAAAATGAGACTATTGTTGATGTATGATTTATGCATTATGGTGATTCAACAGGCTTTTTTGTTTGTTTTATTGGTCAGTGACAGCAGATTTAATATTCATAATTGACTTTATATTCATTCTCATATGAGCATATTTTGTATTAGCAGTGAAGTAAACACTGTAAATCATTTAAGGTTTATTCAGTTTAGAAACTTAAGGTCCACTGCTGCCTAAATAATGTGAGTTATCTGCACTCTGGTCAATTAGTTCAAAAAGTGTACAACTCGCTCAGTTAAATAATTGAACTTATTAAAAAAAATCAAGTTTGAAAAAGTTAGGGTATTAAGTTGAATCAACTAGTCACATAGGCAGTAGGTAAGTAGTTACAGACTGACATACTTCCCTGTGACATTTCTAAGTTTGAAGAGTTTCTTCCTCATTTATTAATGAGACCATAAAGCTCTACCTGTTGTAGCCATATTTTTATCAAGTCAGTACGATAGCAGTCTGTGGGGTCACAATGAATTCGATAATTCAAAACAATAATTCTGTTGGACTAAATTATAAATCTGTGGATGTGGGACTGAATTCAGTTCTAATCTTTGCTATGGCTACAATTTGTCAGAAAACGTATAGAAACTTACTGGGGGGGTACAGGTTGACAAACAAAAGGTGGCTGGTCATCCAGGGAAAAATACAAATAAATACCAGAAATAACTAAACCAAACTCAAGCCAATTTTTTTGATTATTATGAAGAGATACAACCACAACTTAATTTAATATGTAGTTAAAAAAAAAAAAAAAAAAACACGGCAAGTTTTCTCAATGTCTCTTTTTTTAAATTACAAAAAGATTAATCTCTGGCCATATATGCCAGTTTTGTTTCTTATAAATGTAATTTAATGAGTTAAGTGAAGTCTCAGCTGTTCATTCATTCAATTCAGTTCAGTCAAATTTATAGGAACTCTTGTTTTAAGGTTCTAAACTGGTGTGAAAATAATAATTACACATTTTAGCTAAATTAACTTTTAAAAAAATCACAAAAATCATATAATTCACACTAAACAAGCTAAAAAAAAAAAAAAAGAGTTCATTTGATTAAATTCCTTTATGATATTTTACAGCAGCAGCAGCTACTTTTCATCTTCATTCAAATTCTTATTAACATCAATAATGAGAAATAAAAGCTAAATCGAGTGCTTTAAAAATCTGTTGTTTCAAACCATGAAAAAGTGGAAGTGATCTCCCTGGAAAGCCACGGTGTGGTGGGCACACTGCCTCGAGCTGCATTGATGCAATAACGTCCGGTCGGCTCTGGCTCTGACAGAAGACACATGGCGGCTGTAGGAGGTGTGTGGGCTTCAGTGTGGGACAACAGGCTGACGATGATTAGTGTGAACATACAGAGCAGCCCACCTGCTGAGTCAGCCACCAAATAGCTGTCAGTGCTCCTGAGTGGTGCTCATCATCCGACTCCTACTCTGTAACTGAGTGCAGATTCCAACTCAACACCTGATGTATATTAAATACAATCTGAGTTGTGCACATGTAACAGTATAGGCTGTATGTTGGTGTCAACTCTTGTTCTGTATGGTTAATTCAAAGAAAATTTTTACAACCTCTGTCACTTCTTTACACAAACACATGTAAAACGGTTGGTAAAAGCCTTGCCGGTTTGTTCAAATAGTTTCAGAAAGAACCCAAATTCAAGAAGTAAAGTTATTATCCACCTTCTGGTTCAACTTTGATAGCCCCTTGCATGATTCACTCATACAGAGCACTTTTTTTTTAACCTGGTAATTCTATTCTATTGTATTTTATTCTAACAGTTAGTTGTAGCTTAAAGAATTTCAGTGTTATAGTTTAGTGTTGCCACAGGTGTCCTCAGTGAATCCCAGTGTTTGGCGAATGCAACGCCAACATTTAAATCCATTGTTTCCACACATGGGGTTTTTACGTATCACCAACAGCGAGTGTCGCAACCTGTGGAATCGTTTAATTTAAAGGAGGAGTTTGTGCCGACCAAACGTCCTTCCAAACAGAAAGAAGACGTCCGTGAGATCACAAAAACAAATTATCTAAGAGTATGGATAATCTGGATCAAGAGTTGGCTTGTTCACAGCCTGTTAGATCAGCGGATTGCTTGTTTGTCTCTCTGTCCCTTGGACTTTGTTGTAATGATGCTGCTGTGACCCCATATGAGCAATGTTATCACAAGTGTTAGAAATGATGGAGTTTCTAACTCCAGTTTTAACAACTGTCAGAACTGTTAGAAAAAAGGCCCAGGTTGAAATAAACTGGAAATAACCTTTTAGTCTTACCTGACCTTTTAGCAATACAAACAGTTCACAGGTCATTTCATACAATTTAACCAAATCCATCCATTATCTATACACCGTTTAATCCTCATTAGTGTCGTAGGGAGCTGGAGTCTATCCCAGCTGATTCAGGGCGAAGGCAGGGGACACCCTGGACAGGTCACCGGTCTATCACAGAGTTAAATGTCAGTGCAGATTCTCAGTCATCCAGGTCGTGGTTATTCTGGTAGATTAATCATAGCAACTGGACTTGCTTGAGTTCATTGAAGACGTTCCACCTCTCATCCAAGGGGCTTCATCAGTTCTGACTGACTCGTTGGGGGATCCAGATACTTACAACCTAAGGAGCTATTAACACCTGAGTTCCGGTTTCAATTGGGGGTTGTTACTCCTCCCCCTCGTTATGTGAGTCCTTAGTGCTCCCCCTGCCACAAAGCGGTTTGTTAGGGTCTTTTGTGGCTGGGTGTGAATCGGTTTCATCTTCCTGCTGTCCTGGTAGGTACGTTCTGGGCCCGGTGTTGTAAGGGCAGCAGGAAAGGA